CAGCCAGTGAGCCAGAGCCGGCAGCAACCTTGGCACAGACAGGATGCATGCTTAATGTGCCGTCTGTTTTTTTTTTGCTAGTGCTGCTAACTGCTGCTTTGGAACTCGATTCTCTACAGCGTGGTAGTTACATTGATTCGTTGTCAGCTTGGCATTGTTTTTATGAAAGGTTGCAGTTGCCTCAGCTTTGGCTAGAGCTAAAACTAAGGCTAGAAGTGCAGCTAAAGCTGTTGTGTGTAATTCGTTGCAATCATTTTGAAACGTCAAAGCGGCAGCAACGTGTTGCTGCCAGTCCGCAATCAGCGTCATCAATAGCCTTAAGAGATCTGAGGCTTACGGACAGGGGAGCTATGCCATTATTTTGCCATTATATTGACATCAATTTCTGTTGCTGTTACTGTTGATGTTGCTGTTGCTCTTGCTGCTGCTGTTGTTGTTGCTGGTGCATTTCGTTAATTGTTTCATAGACGTTAAGTTATGTTTAGTAGCTAAAGAACTGACGCTGTTATTTCTGATGTTGCTGCTGCGGCTGCCAGTGCTGGTAATTTCAATAATAAAACTACAAAACTAAAAGCAGACAGCAGCGGCAACAGCAACAACAACAACATTCACAACTGCAGCACAGAGTAACGACAATTGCCTTGCATGGAGTGAAAGGCTTCAATCAAAGCGAGCAACACAATCAGACAGAGACGTAGACGGAGCGATTGCTGTTGTTGCTGTTGCTGCTGAAAGCGGACGAAGCTGTGCCGCGTTTTTATACATTTATTTTTCTGCTGCTTTTTCGGCAGACAATGGCAATCAGCAATATCAACTAGAACGACCAGCAACAGCAACAGCAAACGGGCAATTGCACATAATAATGCCCAAGCGAGCACCAACAACATCAGCAATACCAATAACAACAACAACTGCAACAGCAACAACAACAACAACAACAACCACAACAGCACCAGCAACAACAACAACATTAGCCGCGTCATGTCATAGTCACGTCAACTCTGTTTCTGTTAGTTGTTGGCCAAAGCCAAAGCTCAGGCCACGTTTTGAGGCTGTGCAGGAAATCACAGCATGAATCATTCGCACAGCGCGAGTCCAGCGAAAAAAATAAAAACAAGAGTGCTTAGTTAAGAATCGTCGACTAGCAAATACCCTGTATACAGCGACGGCTATTAGAAGTATGCACAAAACACATTTGCATACAAAATATCAAGCATCACACTTCTTCGTGTCATAGCTCCATACTCTGGCAGATAAATTCTTGAATCTTTACGTTCTTTACAAGTGGAACCACTATTATTAAATTTACGATATGTATACTTTAATTTATTTTTGGGGGGAATCAAGGTCAAGAATCTAAAAAGTGAAAAATATTATATCTGTATATCTGTATACTTCGCAATATGCTACATCCCGAATTTAATGTAACAGGCTCCAAAATCTATAGGCTTCTAAATGTGAAAAAATTAAATGGAATGAAAGACCAATCCCATAATAGATTACTTTTGCCAGTGTATAATATATGAGAATATAAATTATTTCAATTCTCCAGCTGACGCTAGCTGACAGGCGGCTAGACCGAAGGTTTGATGCATACAGGACCATCATGCCTGTTTTACTTGCTAATAATGGCACAGGGTATTATAAAACCAAAATAATCACACGATATTCGTACGCGAGAATGCACAACAAAAACGAAACGGCAAAGCCTAAAAACCAAAGGAAGGCGAACCAAGCTTTGATGACTGACTGACTGCATATGTGTGTGTGTGTGTGGTGTGTGTGTGGGGTGTGTGCGGGAGGTGCGGGCAAATGTTTCCTTGGCTTGTGCGCTTTTTGCTTTCGATTTTTTGGCGGCGCGCGCCGAGTGCAGAAGTCATGCGCATGTCACGCGTATTTAAATCAATTTTTTACTTTGGCTACGCCAAGAACCAGCCAGAATTATGGGGTCTACATTGTTATTCGAGCTGTTTTGACATATGAATAGAATGAAATTGGTTTATATGAATATTGGTTAGCAGTTATAATAAAAAATTGTGGATGGCTTAGCTCGGCTTTGATAGGGTCAATTTAATTTTTCCCAGTTTTTTTTATGTGTTCGAGGTCTTTATCGCACGTGAATTCGCTTTCCAAATCATTAATGTACGTGTTCAATTCTATTTAGGGATCAAAAAAAGGAAAGCTAAACTTTCGAAAATCCGAACATTGCATCTCAATAAAATTACAGATTAGGTGTTTCGCAAAAAACTTGTTGCTCGGCTCTAAGAAAATCGTGGTACTTCTTGTTCGTTTCTTGTACGAAGCGAGCTTCAAAGGCTTGGCAATAGTTGCGGATTTTTCAATTCATATGTTTAGAAGAATGATGAAAAGAATCATAAGTTAATAGTACCTAAGGCGAAAAACGATGCCCACTCAAAAGAGTCTAAAAAAATGTATATAAACAATTCGTTTTGCGCAGAAAAAGCAACAGTTGGGAATTTTGCATGTGGATGTTGCTTTTGCACGCCCCGCAACGCCAAGGCGCAGTATCGAGTTTTTTGCAATTGGCCCGTGGGTGGTTTTTTTCTTGCATTAATTAACTTTATGCGATTTTAAATGTTGTTGATTTTTTGTGCTACCAACAACAACAACAATGGCAGCGCGAAGCTCTTGATTTTATGCTGTTGTTGTTGTTAAAATTAAAACAGCAATTAAATGGCTAAAGCCAAGCCCCATCACACCCCTCCCTCAGCCCGGATGCTGGATCGGCCTGTGCATGGCAAATGAGTTGCAACTAAAATTCAATTAGCTAACAAAATTCCATTTCGGACCACAACATGGACACAGCCACAGCCACAGCAGCCACAGCAGCCACAGCAGCCGCAGCAGCCGCAACAGCAACAACAGCAGCCACAGGAACAACAAAAACAACAACAACAACATTGGCTAAAAACTTATGAACACTTTGGTCGAGAGCGAACCGCCCTCTCCTTGGGCCAGGCAACCTCTTCCGGCTAACGCATCACATCGCTGTTTGGTCAACAGAATTTTCGGTTTTGAAAATTGAATTAGATGCAGCAGACCGTGTGGCAGACAAACAGACAGACTGACGGACAGACAGACAGACAGACAGACATAGGCAGACCGAGATAGAGATAGAGGCAGACCGACGGGACGGGAGACAGAGACGCCATTCCGGTATTTCATCAGCCTTGTCAAGCTAGGCAACTCCCACGTGGCACGCCCTCACCCCACCCCCTGGCCGACCGTCAATATTAACTGCATTATTGAGCATTGCGGCTTGCCACAAACATGTAATTGAATTGTACCCTTCTATCCAGTCTTTCACTTGTCCAATCGTCCGTTAGTCAGTCATCGCCATCGTTCCCTCGGCCCTTGTTGTTTTTGGGGTTAACTCTTTTCGGTCAGTTGGTGGGGGGAGGGTAATAAGCCCGACTGTGGAGGGCTGCTTGATTTGCGCTGCTGCGTTTGTGGGTGTGGGCTCTAAAATGATTTGGTTTTGCGTATGGTTAGAAGCCCACAATTCATCCTTCCCCATCGACGACCATTCACACTCAAAACGCGAAAACACAAAATTTAATTGCTCATCGCAAAATTGTGCGGTTAAAACGCTAAATTTAGAAATACTTTTCTGAAAATTACACTGGCCAGCATAAATGTTTTAACATTATTATCTTAAGTTAAGATAGGTTATATAAGCTTTTTAAATTTGCGTCTAGAGATGGGGGAAGATACACACAAAGCTTGTTTTGGCGAATTTTTATTAAAAGATATACAAAATTTTTGATACATAAAGCTCTTCAAATTAAAAATTAATATAATTTATTTGTTTAAAAAGAAGTTTTCGGCGAGCAAACCCCAATTTTGCAAGGCAGTGTTCAGATTTTCGCATAAATATTCCATTCACAAGTACGACCATGAAAATTATTGTGAGTGTGTGTGTGTGCCTGTGGGAGAGTATGTAATGGCATTTTCCACAAAATATGATATCGTATATAACGCAAAATTAAGCCAATTGCATTTGATGCATTTACCGAAAACAAATTTCATTGTTGATTTATTGTTCGCTTGTTTGTTTGGTTTTGTTTCATTGGGTTTTTGTTAGGTTTTTGTTGGGTTTTCAAGAGTGAGCCACCTTTGGTATGCCCCGTGATGTTTTCCCAGGGCTTTCATTTTAGCCAATGAATATGTTTGCGCTATTCAATTATTGTTGTTATTGTTGTTGAAGTTGGCTCAATTACAAAATGCTCTTATCAGAGTGTGGGCTGCACAGTCGCAGCTCCCCATTTAGTGCGTTGTTGCTTTAATTCCTCATTGTTGGGTTTTGTTTAATGATTGCAATTGTGACAACAATGAAATCATTTCAGTTTGCCATTAAGTCATCAATTTAAATAAATAGAAATAAAAATGAATAAATATTGTGCTTATGTGCGAGTGTCACTCGCAATTGTCAAATGTGTCACGAACAATGAGCCGCAATATTGATAAGCACGTGTTGGGGTTCAAATTCTGGGGTCAACAAGGAAGCAACTGCAAGCCTTGGCTATTTCTATTGTTTAATGGCATTCAGCTGCAACAAGTCTAAAGATCATTAAACACGTTCTTTGATAAGACAATTAGCTCCAACTAAAAAAAAAAACAACAATTCTTTAAGGCTGTGCGAAAAACAATGTCGCCATAATGCATTACTAAGTGTTCATTAAATGCCTCATGACTCTCGTCAGATATGGTAATTCGATCCAAAGCTTTCGAAGCACAGATCGGGTACAATAAAGCCAGGCTCTGACCAATTGTTCTACCTGTAGCCTTACGATATTGTCAATAGCTCAAAATATACCATACAAAACACAAGAAGGTTCCTATTCTCAATTATAAAGAACTACAAAGATCAATTGCACAGAGTTATACCAAAACTGAGTCTAATGGGCATAGATACCCTATACACTTTGATGCCTTGGCTATCTTTGAGATGACTCAAGCAGTTTTTGTTATTCACATACCGCGACCAAACACCCTGATGAGGGCATTAATGTCAACATGTTTATTTTGAAAATCACATAAGTCTTGACTGCATTACAGATCACTCGGCGCACTTGTGTAAAGACGTACAAATTCTGGCTGAGAGTTCTGTGTATAGAGCTATATAGTTACATATATAATATACATATACATGTTATATCCAGTCACTTACATTACGCATAGGCAGTTTGGCTAAAATGCCAATCATTGCCTTTCCTAAGCTTTCCCAACGTTTTGTCTCACGAGTCCAGTTTTTCAATTCAGTTGAACAATAGCTTGTCATCTCGTTACGTAAACGTAATATCCACATGGTAAATCGATTTGGAATTTGGAGTTAATAAGATTCTAATATTATTCGCTTGCTATGCAATATACTTGTATAAAATGGTAATAACTTTACAAATGTTGCGACTTTTGGAAAAATGTAAGGGCAGAGTGTAGGGTGAACTAGAATCTAAATGAATATTATAAAATTAACTAAAACATTCGAATTTGATTGTGAAGCATGCTTAGTTACGGCAATAACGCTAGTCAAGTGTCGGCATGAATCTGGCTAAGGACAAGGCCGTCTTAATTAACGGCTCCATCCGTATGCCCAATGACCAGCTACATCTTTTACCTAGTCCGCCAGCCAGTCAGCCAGCTATCCAGTCGTCCGACTTAATGACTTCATTTTAATTTGCAGTGGCAAATAATTAATTTGAAACTGTTTGTGCACAGTCTGACGCTTGATGACATGACAGCATTGCACTGTCCACTGTACACTGTCCTCTGTCCGCTGTCCACTGTCCGGTGTCCGCTGAATGGCATATGTGCCCACATCTAACCAGACACATCCATTCGCAGGCTGTTCTGGCATTTTATCAACTGCGCAACTGACTCGCCCGACTATTTGCTGCGATAAAAAAAAAAAAAAAACGGAAAGAGAATTGAACGTGCAACAAATGTTACTCAAGTTAAATGTTTGTTTTTGCATTCATTCTAAGTGCAGAGCACAGTCACATTCAGAGTCAGAGTCAGAGTCAGAGTCAGAATCACAATTACGGGCACGAGTGCGAGTGTGAGTTTGACTACATTCACAGTCACGGGCATTGGTCTCAACTGTACCCCACTGATAGCGTAGGCTCATCGATAACAGCAATCGCTGCGGACCATTGGGGGGCATTGCACTGGGACTGGAGCTGGGACTGGGGCTGGGGCTGGGACTGGAGACAGGAGACTGGGAGACTGGCGCAAGCCGCTGTCGTTCCGCTGATAACATTTGGCAAACGCAAATGGAAACGCGTATTAAAAATGCCCAAAGAGGCATCATCGAATCGCAACAGCAACGGCGATGGCATTGCCGGGTGCAATGGCCGCTGGCCGTTGACTGACCAACAGCAACAGCAGCAGCAACAGCAACAGCAGCAGCAGCAGTTGCCGCTGTCTCTTCGTTCTCGGCCATTCATTTGGCCCGACAAACATTTGCATTGGCCATTCTCGGTCAATATAGACAGATTTCCATGCAAATTTAATACGCAAACATTCGGGGCGGCCCTAGTCAAATTGAAAATCTCATCTGTGCAAAGTGGCCGGCGGTCGGGTTTGGGATATTGGCCCGTTCACCTGCTGCCACTTGCGCATTTTGAGCAGCTGCCTAACGGTAAGGCAATCAATTACTGGCCCGTAAGCGTGATTCGTGGAGCTCACACTGATTCGCCAATCACATTCACATCCACATCCACATCGACATCGACATCCCCATCTTCACATGCATCGATCTTTCTTCGCGTTTCGCGCTGGCGGATGTGCTAAGCGCGCTGCCAATTTAAAATACAAACAACATGGTCCAGGGAGATGCGTCAATAAAAGTGGGAAACAGCTTCTCGACTGACTGCATCCGTTTCCGTCAAAAGGCAGTGGGTGCATCGATTGTGGGCGGGAAAGTAACGCTGCTCCTGTGCCTGGGCCATACCATTGCCCTTGGGCAAATGCAGCCTTAAACAGAACCAAGGCCTATGGCAACAGTAGTTTGCTTTTGGACTAAGAGATAATGGAGGTGAGGTGTTTTCATTGAGATTCAAGTAGAAACATCAACTAAAATGAGCTAGTATTTTCTTTTCGAATGTGCAACGCAGACTTTTTATATTTTATTCAGTGATCCTTTTTCTATAATAATATATTTACTCATATAGTGTTACACACGAAGATTACCTTGTTACTTCTTATAATGCTTCTAGGAGCCATACATTTTTAGAAGCCATCATACATTAGCTTTAGATGAAGCATTAGGGGTCTTAAAAAACAGTTTTAACCCCTGTAAGTCCATTTATTTGCGCCGATAAATATAAAAATCAATTAATGCATTTCTCTGCGGATAGCTTACCTCTTCTCTCTTTTTCGCTCTCTTTCTTTCCCCATTTCTCACACTTCCGCTCTCTCTTTCTCTACCGCTGCTGTCGCTGCCTACTCAAGCGCTATGCATTTAAATATGTTTCGTGTGAACACCAAAACGGTTACAGGACAGCCCCTACTTGACACCAGACGCTGATCCAGACGCAAACCGGAGACCAACCGCACTCTACAACGACAACGACTACTTCCGGACATCCTCTTTGCCGTATTCGGCCGCGTACTCTGCAAATTAAATGCAATGACAAATGCACTCCGTCAAATTGAAAAGGGATTTCTCTTATTAATTATGACGCCGCCGCAGTCAGGACACCAGAAAAAGGGTTGATGACGATGACAACATGTCGTATGAAGGATAGGGACAGGAAGAGGGACCTCGACTGGCACTGGGACTGGCACTGGGAATACGACCAGCAAACTGTCGATTTTTTTAACGACAGGCATCTGTGTGTTAATTTAATGTGTCTCTGTGTGTGTGTGTGTGTGTGTTTTTGTGTGTAATGCACATTTAAATAATAACTCTGCGGTTGGCCGCAGCATGGCTGGCTTTTGTTTTTTCGGCCTTTTATGCGTTTTTTTTCACATTTCATTTTTTGTAATACAATAAATGATATCAGCTGAAAGCGCCTGCGCAAATTGCTTGCACAGGCTTAATCCTTTAGTGCCAGCCACTCGTTTTCAATTATTTAAAATGAATTTCCAGCTGCGAATCGATTGCTCCATATTCATATTTACATATGCACACGTGTATGTGATATATAAAAAAGTGATTTTAATTCGAATTGACATTCATAGCCAACGGCACAGCAACGCCTTTAAATTATTTTTCGAATGCATTTCGCTTAAATCATTACTCAACACTAAAGCCGCTAGAAGAAGAGCAGGTAGCAGAATAGTAAAGCACGAAGCAGCTCAGTGCTCAAACGAGCCAATTGTTGTTTTTAGACGCTTGAAAGCTGATGTATGTAGTTGATGAAAAATGCATTTGAATGCCACTCGAACATTGCCCCAATACACGGACTATTCGCCCCTCCGACAACATGTCATGTCATACGGACTTAAGCGATGATATATATATTCGTATTTTTTTCATACTTGTAAGCTTGGGCCTTATATCTTGTCCGTTGGTGAAAGATGAAAGTCTGTTTTTTTTTCTTCTTTCAGCCCCTGTGACAGCATAATTAAGCCTCATGTTTTTGTTGCCGGTGTAGCTGTCGCTCAGTACATTTTCTTTTCAAAAGCGTTGAAAATGCTTTTAACAAATTTCTTCACCAAATTATGTAGATAAGTAAAAGTTGTCGATGATGTCGATGCTTTTTATTTTATATGCAATGCGTTTGGTTCGAGAAAAATTGATAAGCAAATTCTTTATTCACAAAACTCATCGAGCACAAAAAAATACATGGGTTTGTACAAACACATATTTCGTGAATAATCTTTAAATAAAATTCACATAAATTTTATGCAAAAATTGACAAAATGGGCGAACATAAAAAATATATATAGATACAAATTGAAATGAGGAAATGAGATAATAAAATTAATAGCTAAAAAAGCAATAAAAAAATATTTTTAGATATTAATTTTTTCGATGGAGAGTTATTTGGAATATCTTCTTTTATGCATATATTTTGCAGTTAGACAAAAATATAACTTCATTTGGAAAACACGTTAAGTTTCGCTGCTTTAACGATTTGACTAAGCCTTATCGCGGTAGATATTAAATATATTTTATTGCTTATTTATGTATATATTTTGCTCTTTAAGCATTTAGTACAGGGTATTTCAGCTTTTGAGTGTAGCTTGCGAACCTTTAAGCTTGCTTAAGATAACTGCTACATTAGGCCGTAAACGTGGCAGGAGGGGAGACTGCACAAAATTTGCCTAATCCCCGCTGTCAGTGTTGTTGTTGTTGCTGCTGCTGCTATTCTGCAGTAGTCAACACGCCGACAGCTTTGCTGTTGTTGCTCTTGTGGTTGTTGGCCCGATGTCGTGATCAGCCATCCAGTTACGAGTATAGTCAGAGTCATTCACTCAGTCAGGCGACTCAGCGACCAGCGGCCAACGAACAACACAATGTTTGGGTGTCAAATTGATAATCGCGTGAGTTGTTATCACAACAACGCACACATACACACACACACACACACACACTTACTCATGAAATAATGCATAAGCTGTCCGTCGCCACATTTTAATGCAATTTACAAGAGACAAGAGTGGGTTTGCGAGAGGGGTTGAAACAAGTTAGCAAGTTGCCAAGTTGCCATGTTGCGTGTGTGTTGGCTTTTGTTGTAACCCAAATATTGTATTATTGTAAAATATTAAGAAAATGTTCGTATAATTTGCTATCGCTGCCCGTAAATCGCTGGACATGGCCAAAGCCCATTGAAGCGCGCCTGGGCACAGCAACAAAAAAGCCCAACCAAACCTGCCCGCTGACTGCCAAATGAAACTGGTAACTGGCTGCTTACTCTCTGTTAGTTACTGTGGTCAGTTTTTGCCTATATATTTTAACCTTTTATTTGGCCAAGGGGTTGGCCAAAACGTGCTGTTTAAGGGCGCTTTGCGTTAAGCGCGTTTGTTTGCTCACATGTCCGGATGAAAGGTGCAGATAAAACGCAATTACATGCGATTATCACGAAATATGTAGCGAAATTTATGAAATGTATAATTTACAGTTACAGAGCTGGTGCTGCTGCTGCTGCTGCTGCTGCTGCAGTTGCTGCTACTGCTGCTCTTTTCATGTGCCTGTGCATGTCTGTCAGTCTGTCTGTCAGTTCGTCAGTCAGTTTGTCCGCCTGTCTGTCTGTCTTTCTCTCGCCTACCGATGCACTTTTCAAACATTGACGACTTTTTTTGTTGTTGTCGCTTGGCTTAGGGTGTGTGCCAAACCATAAAAATGTTGTTAAACACAGACGGCAACGTGCAACCAGGCCCGAACTCACTTTGCGTTTAGAGAGTTGTGGTGTTGGACAGAAAAGTGGCGGTGCGTGTGTCGCAGTTGTTGTCAGTGAATGTGTGTGTGTGTGCATTAAAGTAAACAAAATTGATTTGAAAATTGCGCGAACAGCGAACACACA